GTGCAAATGATGGGGTTTTGAGACTGAAGGGTGGATTGCCTCATGGAGCAGTCAGGGAAACGTAGAATTTCCCTAAGACAAGTAGGCTGTGAATGTGCAGAGTTGTGCCAGATGCTTCTACATTGGTGTCATCCTGGCACCAGGAAATTTTCCTTTAATAGGAAATTAAAAATTGCAAGAAGCTACATTGAGAGCTTTGATAGATCTGACAAATGCACTCCTGTGAGAGGATGAAAACAGAAATGAAACTTCTGAAAATTCCTTTCAGTAGCAGATTATCAGTAGTCAGGGGAGCTGATTGAACTGGTGATAAAGGGAAATACCTCAAGTACACAGGAATAGGATTTCAGGGGAAGTGGTTAATGCTACATTTACTGGTAGAAAATTCCTAATCTACACAAAGTTGTGGTTTGTATTGGTCATTGTAATCAGTAAAATGAGTTTATCGTGAATCCCAGAATCATTAAGGTTGGAAAAGACCTCTGAGATCATCAAATCCAACTAAACCAGAGCACTGAGTGCCATGTCCAGTTGTTTCTTGAACCTTTCCAGGAGTGGGGACTCCACCACCTCCCTGGGCAGCCCATTCCAATGCTTGACCACCTTTTCTATGAAAAAATTCTTTTTGGTGTCCTGTTAATCGCTGCAGCCATGCTTAAGGCTTTCAAAGGCACAGCTTAGGCTTTGCATTCCATATCAATAAATAATCAGTTTGTCTTCAAGTTGTGATAGGTTTTTCTTGCTCCACTGTAGGAGCTTTGTGGTAAATGCAGCAAGGATTAAACATTTAAATATGGGAGAGTTACAAAAGTTTGGGATACAGTTATGTCACAGTACTTATAGATGGTTATTACAGGTTATTATTTTATCACTTCTTCCATGTAGGCCATGGGAATATTGATTCAAAGCAGAGACTGAGGACTAGTTCTGGTTGTTGGAGCAGCTTTTGGGGGAATTGGGCTGCTGATGTGTGGTGGTTTCTTTGGTTGTGAAATGCCCATGGCAGGGCAGTGCCAGTAACTGTTAGAAGTGGGTGAGGGAACAGAAACTTCATAAACAGCCAAGCAAGTTCAGTTTCTTTCCAAAATTGTTTTCCTAAGTGAGTAATTTTTAGGATTCACCTTTGAGAGCAGCCCCCCTGCAGCTCCCAGGTCTCAGCATGGAAGAGCTGACTTGAATCTTCTTCTTATGGGAAGGAAAGGCCTTGTTGTGTTTAACTGGTCAGTGGTGCAGCCCTGCTGCTGGGTGATTATCAGAGAATGCATCTGGTAGGCAAAGACGTGTCAGCAGCAAAGGAAAACAACCTTGAAACTGGCCTGCAGTGAGCCTGCAGTTTCATAATTACTTGGGGCGATGCTAATTGCAGGCTGGTGCCCACAGGGGGATTCCACAGCCCCCTCACTGCAGCTGGGCTTTCCCAGCTCCCGCTGCAGTGGTGCCACTCCCGGGGGCACAGCTGGCCCTGCACTGGGAGCTGGCTGACGGTGGGAAGGGAAGGATGAGATGATTTCAGCAGGGTCCCATGCGGCCACAGCACCCTGGGGTGACAGAGGCAGGATGGGCAGGGGGCCCAACAGGGTCTGGGAACACCTGAGTTAAGGGAACGTAAATTCACTCCAAGGTGATTGTTGTTACGCTGCATAGTGGATTGATCCTAGTTTTAGTTTTTTTAATTTCTATACTGCCTGAAAGAAAGCTTTTCATGTTTGTTTTCTGGGGACTGTTTCTAATGACTCCCACTCTTAGGAGCATAAGACTTTTCTTGTCTCCTCTCCTCCCACTGCCTCCCTCCCACCTCCAGTAAATTTACTGAAATGGGTCAAAGTAGAAACCCTGGAGAGAGTTCTTTAGTTCTCTCTGAACTGTGCCTGCCCTGAATCGATGGCACTTTGGGGCAGGGGGAGGGATAATGGTCTTGCTTGTTCTCTCAAATGTGCTCCAAGCAGTGGCTCCCTTTCTGCAGGTGGCTCTTTTGGGCCACAAAGTTCATTAGCCAGTGTTGAATCATCAGCTTCAGAACTGAATTTCCAGGCTTTGAATCCTTTCCACAGCCAGGTCACTGCTGCAACACCTTTGAGCCCTGGTTTTTGTTTGCTTTTCATTGGAACTCTTTGGATTTCAAAGGGAAGGATGATACTGAGACATGGGCTCCTCTTTTTGACTCTCTGTACAGAATTATGTCTCCTTTTACTTGTTTTCTACTTAGGGAGTGATTGCAAGGCTTGGGGAAGTGTTTGTGTGAGTGTTACAATGTACTTAGGTCTAAAATACTGATATTACTACTATTTGCTCCTTAAAATGAGCTTGTTTGCAGAAATAATGCATTGGCCACATTAATTTTTTTTAAAGATTAAATCACAAAAGTATGAAAAATCCACCATTAGCCCTTGTGGGTGATAATCCTGTCTCTATTATTAGGTTTAAAGAAATGAAACTTGCATTGTGGGCTGTTCAGATCAAGTAAGGAAGAAAAGATTAGCAATTTTCCAAACAGTTTTGATTTGGGTCTTATTACCTATGACATGGCTTGAAGATTTAATACCTTCTTTTGTATCAGACCATGGGGTTGGATACCTGCTGCTCTTCAGCTGCAATTGCATCTCACACTCTCAGTTGCTCATCAGTGCAAGATGTGGAGCTCCAGAATGAGCTCAGTGCAGTGTGAGCTGTGCCTGATATGGCACAGGAGGAAATGTTCTGTGGGGAGGAATGATCAGCCCTGTCCCAGAAGGAATTCAGAAGGTAAAGGAAGGAGCCTGGTGCAAGGGCGCTGTGGCTCTGGCATCAGTCAGGCAGTGAGGTGAGAAAGCCCTTTGTCATTTGCTCCCTGACTCTTCATGGTAGCACAAAACATGGTATTTATTTCTTTTTTATCCAGTTCTTTTTCTTTCTTGTCTCTAAACTTGGAAGCACAGGTCTTTAAAACCTCCATTGCTCAGGTTCCTTGCTAGAGATTGATATCAGAAACCAAACGCTTGGTTCTTTGCTCCACTGAAATTCCCTCTTACTTCATGATTTGTGTTTTCTTTGCTTGGCTCTAAATGTGTGCTTCCTTTTTAAATATAGTTTTCCAAGTTTCTGGCCGTACCAGATTGTTTATATTTTTTAAAAGCCTTCTGCTTAGCCGTTATATTGCTCTTTATAGTTCTGCTTAACCACATTGGTTTCTGTTGCTCTTTTTTCTTGCATAAACTTAGCTGGGATGAATTTCAAATGTGGTTTATCCAACTGTTAAGTATTTCCCACTTTTCTGCAATAGATTTCACATATGTTACAGAATTCCAAACCAAGATCTGGTGGACATATTGCCCTGTTTCTTTACCCAAAGTCAGATATAGAAGGATTTTTAAGCATTTCAGTGACAATATTTAGGTCACTGGTTCCAGCACGCTGCTTGGCTTCAAATCCATTTGTCATTTTGAGCTGGTTTCCAAGGGTTAGGATAACTATGGTCCATATATTTATTAAAAAATGTTAATTTTTTGCTAATAAACCTAAAGGGGGAAAAAATATTGGTCCTCTTGAGTTGGGAGCTCAAAAGGTTTTTTATTTTCCATCCAAAGGTCAAACTGTGGAGTTCCATAAGAGACGTCCATCCATCCAGGATTTACCTGTTCAAAAATGTATCCAAAATTAGGGATTAGGCTTTTTCAGAGTATTTAGAGGGTAATATTTGTATCTAGTAACAAGTCAGCAACTTGCCCACCTAGTGTGGTGTTAGAGCTGAAGGAGGTCCCAGGCTTGTGCTTTTGGTCCCTTACAGGTGGTTGAGTTATGAACAGAAATGAGTTTTTCCAGAAATATGGCAAGTTTCTGGTAGAAAACTGGAGAATATTGGGAGTTCTGCAGGCAGGTTGGAGGGATGAGGTGAAGGTACTCGTGCTCTAACATGTTCTCACTTTCCATGAACTTTTCTCACAGCCAGGTTTTTCTCTTTTTGAATTAATAAGAGGATAAAACAGTGCTGAATTTCTTTTATGAACTCTTGATTCTCCCAGTGACTTGGGGAACAATGTCTGTGGCTGAATGGAGAGGTTTGCCTTTATTTTTTCATTTTATGTGGAAATACTGCAGAAGAGGCACAGAGTGACACCGAAGATTGAGTGTTGTTGGTTTATGCACTGATAAGTGACCCGTTCAATCTATTATGGTGACATTTGGAGGCACAGCACTGAGTGGAGGAATTGGGATGGGGATAAAACACTTGGAAAAAGCTGGAAAGCAGTGGGAGCTGTGCTTCAGCTCAGCAGAAACTGTTGGAAAATACTCTGGCATTCATCTTAAAAAAAGATATGTTTTGGAGAAGAAATGGACATACCTGCTAATGCCTTGGAGGAATAGATTGCAAAAAGATAATTTTGTATTCAAATAAGACAAGACTTAAATGGAAAAGAGCACTGCAGTGGCAGTGGAATATATATATATATATACACACACAGTGGAATATATGGAATTATATACAGCATGTCATAGGAAATTAAGAGTGACTGAGGTGTAATCAGTCCAGATTTAAGTATAAGGTTCACCAATATTTCAAGTAATAAATTTTTATAGTAGAATAACTCAAAATAGGAAAAATCAGTGTCTTTAAAAAGAGCAGGCAGGTGAAAATAAACCTGGTTTGAATATGTCCAAGATCTGTAATCTTCACTGGACTTGGGCATTTATTAGGAGGTGTGCATTGTGTGCCATTGCTCCTGTGCTGTGTGATGCTGGGGTGGAGCCATGAACAGTTTTGAGAGAAATGGTGATGTTTTGGTTGCAAGATGGAATCCAGAAGGCTGTAGCCCTTTATTTGCTGTTATTCATGAGGTCAGATCTCTGGAAGCTTGGTGCTTGTTCTGTGCTGCTCCCCAGCCTTTCCATCTCCAAATTCCCAATAACATGGTGTATGTATGAGGGCTTTTGGGATTTTTTTTTTTTTTTATTTCTGTAACAAGCAGAGCTCTGACTGAATTTCTTTTTTTTCCTTTTTTTTTTGTTTGTTTGGGGGTTTTTTTGGTGTTTTGTTTATTTTGTTTATGTTTATTTTTCTTTTACAGAGGGAGCTCGATACCACAGCAACAATATTGGCGAACCGGCAAGATGAAAGTGAGCAGTCCAGGAAAAAACTCATTGAGCAAAGTCGTGAGTTCAAGAAAAACACTCCAGAGGTAAGGAGAAAATCTGTCCCAGTCTCTTGCTGTAGTAGTAGGTGGGCTTAGGCATGTGCAAGTGATGATTTCTTAATGATTTATTTCTATAATTTTCTTGTATTTATTGCCAGGGCCTTATCTGCTTATATCTGATGTTTTCCTCATCAGGGAGCTTTTGCATTCTGCAAATAATGAAATGTGGATTGATGGTTTTAGAGGAAGCATCAGCACTGGCCTTCAAGCAGGCTTGCTCTAAATTATATAATAATGTAAAACCTGGAGAATTGCAAAAAAAAATTGTTCACCAATCCAAACTCTCGGAGCACTTGGATGTAGAAAGTGACATTTTGCTGCCTAAATAAATCTATATCAAGGGCAGAATTTCAAAGATGCTCATTTTTCCATCAAAAATCACATTAAGTTTCACTGTTGATTTCACTGGAAACACAACAAGGTCAGGGCTGAGCCAGGCTCCGCTGGGAGGGCGTGCATGGAGCACAGGTGTGGGGCAAAACCAGTGGGGAAACTGGGAGAGCTGAATGTGATCTGTGAGAAACTGGGAGTGCTTCAACTCCTCATGAGCAGCCACCTCAAACCCACAGATAATCTCACTTGGTTCCCTGCTGAAAGCAGAGCAGTGCTCAGGGCTGGCTGCCTCCTCTGTTTGTTTTGTGGATTTGGGTATTTTTTTCCCCTGCTGATTGCCAGCAATCTGTTCATCCAGGAATGTTGTGGCATTTCAAAGCCAGTTCCAGATAAACTGATCTGCCAGCACCAACTCCTTCCAAGGCTCTTCCTGGGAGGGAAGCAGCAGGCAGCTCTCCCAACCTTCAGTGCTGCTTCTCCAGCAGCAGATGCTGCCCTGCATCCTGGG